TCGTCTTCGAGGTGCAACGCTGCAGCAGTCGTACCGTAAGTGCAGGTACCACCGGTACAGCTAGCTAGCTCGTCGTGTCGTCGTCATCGTCACTCTCGGACCGAAGCGGCCGGGGCCCGCCACGCTTCCAGAGGGTCTCCGGACGTCCGCGATCCCGTGTCCCTGCCGCCGGTGGCCGGAGAACGTGTGACGGTGACCTTCTGCCGATCACCCCGGAAGTGCACTTTCACGTACCTCATATACCTCGATCCCCACATCGCTTCGCCTTGACTGCTGCCCTCGACCGAGGTGTCGGGTTCGGAGGACGCTTTTCAGCAACCCAGGCAAATAACTGCACGTCCGGCCCGTTTCACTCCTCTCCACGCGGCGGCCGCCAATCGCCTCACCCGCCCGCGTGAAGACACTGCAGCTTGTGTTGCCGGTTCGTCGATCTTCGCCCCACTCTTCGCCTCGGCCAGCCGCATTCCGGTGCAGTCCACCTCTTCGTTTCCGGTCTTCGCATGGTCGCTGAGGTCCAGAAGTGCAGCCCGTCCACGCTGCGGTTCGGACTGTCTTCAAGACTGCACTTCCGAAATCTCCTGGTCTTGGCCGATGACAGCCGCGCTGACCATCGACACGACGTAGTCGCTCAAATCAGCTCCATCGAACTCCTTCTCTCCGTCGTAAATGACTCTGGTTTCGGTTTTTGTAGAGTATAGTTGTTCAATTTTTGTCATTAGAGCTGCCACAACGTCCATCACGGAAACGTTAAAATAGTCCCGGAGGATCTCTTCATCGTACTCTCGCTGCATAATGGTGTGGAAACTGTACTTAGTTGTTAGGTTTTTTTTGATTTTTTATGCGTACCTTACGCAAGGTGAAGAAAAATTATTAAACAATAAGACAATATAAAAATAAAATCATAAGTTGATCATTGTATATATTATTTATGTGAAAATTACTATAATATTCGAGAGATGTTTCGTCGCGAAATATAAACTGATTCAAAATGTGTAATCGGTCGTACGCATAAACATCCAAACGAAAATCTCCATGACAACAAAATAATATTATACTGTTCAAAATTGAAAATATATTATACGGCCAATTTATTTACAAAGACATTACATATTATGTACATTTCAACATATTATTCATGTTAACACTAATACTTGTATACCTAATTGTAATGTAATAATTGGAATACCTACCTTTACAATATATATAGCTTTATATACCTATTAATAAAACACCTATATTGCACGTCACAATAATTTGTTTCTTATCTCAAGAAATAATTTTCATCCAAATATTTGAGGATTTAAAATGATGTCATTAGTTTACTCTAATATGGAATTCAGACTTATAATTCGTTTATTGACACTCGATCGAGACATCGAGTACCAGTCAGCTTGGAACATAGGTACTTACTCAAGGCAATTTTCAAAATATTTATATTCATTCTATGCTATTTGCATACCACAAACCTATTCACACCGTATTCACTATAAATTGACTAGGTAGGTAATAATAACATCTAGTAATATTGTATAAAATAATATTATGATTTTAGATTTATAATCTATATAAATAAATGTATATAAATTAATTGCTGTTTGTTAGTTTCCCTAAAACTCGAGAACGGCCTGACCGATTTGGCTAATATTGGTCTTGAATTATTTGAGGAAGTCCAGAGAAGGTTTATAAGGTGAATAAATATCAATGTTTTATTATTTTTTACATTTTCTATATATACATATACATATATATATAAATGGAGCGTGAAAAATTGTCATTACCTCATCAATCGAGAACGGCTGCTCCGATTTGACTCAAATTTTTGTAAGATGTTCGTAATCGCCAGTAGAAGGTTTTAAAGAAAGAACATCTTAAGAAAATCCACCGGAAAAGTAGGAAATCTGGATGTAAAAATACAACAATGGCTCAACAGTGTATTATAATATATTATTGGTTGCTATATGGTTAATCGGGCATGTTTGTTGATTTGTATTATTATTTTTTGTCGATATATAATATATAAATTAATGTTTCTGTGTAGATAGACCTCTGGGAAGAAGACAGGCTATAATTTAAACATTTAAACATGTTTCAATTTGTTTTTTTTTTTATTCGGCTGATATTAGTACGGTTAGGTTAGGATTTTGTATTAATTGATTATATTAATCCACCATAGGTTAGGTTACAACAACTCGTAAAAAAAAAAAATTACAAACAAAAAAACTCTCCTAACCTGTTAGTATTTAATATTTTTAATATAATAATTTAATTTGCGATAAATTGTGTCGATTATAACCTATAATATTTGATTCGATAGTGCATGACAAATAATATAAATTACATTTTTTTTCTTAGCATTCCTATACGTAGGTACTTATATAGTATGACGTGCACATATTTAATAAACCAAAAATAAAAATATATTGACCGTTTATATGACGTATTACATATATATTTTATGTAGCAAATAGTATATTAATATAAATTAAAACAAAAATATTGTTTAATGCATTTAACGGGTTGAGCGCCATGTGAATTTTTGTAGTTTTTCCAATGTTACTGCTTGACAAAAATGTCAAATATTGGTGAATTTCCGTATACATTGCCATGAGAAGCACATTTGCAGGGTCTCACTAATATTATAGTTTTATTAAATGATACCCAATATTAGTTCTCATTTATCGGTTTTTTATATCATTACATTTATGATTTTCATATTATGCATTATATTTTGATACTAATAGGCAATAGCTCATACCTTATTATATTATTATTTCTAAGTCATATATAATTATATAATCACAAAACATCAGAAATATATTTAATTTTATATACCATGGCAATAGAAAATTATAAAATCATTGTAGGCAGTCATCAAACTCTAGTTGAGATCCAAAACTGAATGTCATTTGGCGCTCTACTAATTTAAAATTTAAAATAGATAGATATAGGTACATTAGTGACATTAATGACATTTCAACAAAATAATTTGATTTTAAAATTGTTATAAATATATATCAAAAAATTTAACACAAATTACAGTAATTATTACAACTTTTTCTTTAAACCACAGTAGTTGTATTCTATAATTTAAAACGGTGAGTTCCTTTGCCAACCTATATATAAACGTTCAATATTTAACAACTACACCGCCGACCGCGCGTTAAAGTCACCGAGTCACACGCTCCGCGTTCTGTCAATATGTACTTATCCGACACTCGCGAAATCGCAAAAGTTTAAAATATTATTTTATTATATCGTGCATATATATAATATGAAGTGCAACGTTATTTATGTCTGCCAATACACGTGTAACGGGTATGAATATTATAATGTCGAACGTAGATGTATTTTAAGCGTCATTCCGCGGCGCCCGTCCAATCGCGGGCGTACCTATATAATATGTATTTATTTACACGTTTGTTTGCACAAGGGATGTGTATAAAAACCCCACTACCTACCTACTATGTATGATAATAATAATATGACGTTCGGTCCTCCGTCGCGCAATAAGTCCCCGCGGAAGACATTTGGCCCAGAGTACTGGCTCTACTAGGTACGATGGGCAGAATATAATAAGGACGATCGCAGTGATGTATACAGCAATTACACGTAGCTGCAGGTATATACACCGGGGTCGAGGGCGCACGCTTGTTTTACCATTTACCTCGCACCGTACACAGCACAGCTTATAATTTTATTTATATATTGTATAATATACTCGTCCACATAAAACATATCATTACTGAGGCCGAGCCTAATACAATTAATTTTCCGGCGTACGTCGTATATTATAATATTATTATTATATTCTACTCGCGTCTTCGTCATGCAATAATAATAATAATAATAACAATATTGTCGGCTGGAATCGGTTCACACGTTTCACGTCGTTAATATTATCGTTATATACCGGTAACGTATACGAGTATATTACATAATGTGACTCGTATTATATTATTACTTGTATCATAATATGCACCCAGCGCGAGGGCGTAAAACGAAGACACTCGGGAAAAAGAAGCCATCGAGACGCCTTTAATTGGTTTTAAACGATATAATTTCATATATTTTGCTATACTATACATAATATAGGTACCATATAGTTAATAGTTATAATAATATAATAATTGTCATATATATAAAAAAAAATAAATATAATATAATGCGCGTGTGTTCACAAAACCGGATACACCATAACTCGGTTACTTATGTTTCTCAGACTCCTTTACATATTTTTGAATTCAGTTTGCGTCACACGAGTCTTATTACACGACATATTTATACTTGAAACATCGCGATCTCGTTTTCTATGGATATTATAATATCATTCCAACCGAAAAGAAGTTATAAATCGTTTTTCGCGACCCGATGGATGCATATTATTATAATGGCTGATAATGTAAATAAATTATGCATAGGACATTTACGCCGAGTAGTGTAATATACGTATATCCAATACCATAGTTGCCTAGGTATAACAATCAGCAGTATATATAATATTATAATACGGTTGCAGTTAGGTAGGCATTTACTGGTGCACTGTTATAAACCGTGGTATAGGTAAGTAAGTACGTACTCGCAGCTGTCGTCGTCAAATAGATAGTTCAAAAGTCTGGAAAACGCGTACCTGTATACATAGGCGCCAGGTTTTCAAAAATGTATTGGGTGCTCTTACCAATTTCAAGCAGAGGTGCACGCAGGGTTGTGGCGGGGGTTAAGGGGTTTCACCCCCCCCCTCGAAATTTCTCCGAGGCCTAGTATAATGTTAGGGCTATACAATATTTATCTCTATATAGTAAATTATTAATAGAATAACACCCCTCCCCCGAAAAAAATCCTGTGTGCCACTGACGTCAAGTATTAGTGAGGGACTTTTCCCCCTCACACCCTATACTACATTTTATATAAACTGGTAACAAAACATATTTACAAATTACAATATTATAATATTTTATACAATTTTTAATGAATACCGAGTGTCCGAGTATATTAGTAACATTTTAAACAATTAAAATTTTTACTTCATGGAAGTCTAAAGAAATCTTTTGGAGTTCTGCATTGAGAAGTTCAACCTTCTCAAAAATATTAATCGTTACTTTAGTATAAAATAAAAATTCATATTTGTGCAATTGTTTGAGAAAACCATTTGCTTTGGCACCATTTTCTGACCTCTCTTTTGATATATTATCTAAAAACTTTATTAAAACTGCATAATTGTAGTATAATGTTTTTAAAGACTTTACTCGCATACACCATCTGGTTGAACAGAATGGATGAAGTGATTGAGAATTTAATTCTTGGTCACTTTGTAGAGCATTGAAAATTGCCTGTCTTTTGGGAGAACAGCGTACAAACACTATAATAGATCTTATAGCTAAGATTCGAGCTAAAAAATCTCGAGATCTATCTACGCTCATCATACCATCTTGGACCACAAGGTTTAAACTATGTGCTACACAGTACACAGTGAACATATATAGCATGTTTTTCAATATCTAAAATTATTTTTTGGAGACCACCAGTGGTCGAAGTGGGGGGGATACGGAGGGATGACATCCCTCTACTTTTTTGTATTTACATTTTTCATCCCTCTACTTATTTTGTCTAGAATAACGCATTCCTCCAAAGACTTGTGTTTTAAAATGAAATAATTATTATGATTTTTATATTTATACCTATGTATAAGAAAACTTTTTATTTTTCGTATAGGCCGTTTCGCAATCATATTATCTATACCCGTATTTAGAGCCACGGATTAAGAATTTACATATACCTTAGTCGTGTTTAGAGCTAATAACAATAACAATAATAATATTGATGATAATAAGTAGGGACGTAGCAACAAGCAATATGCTAAAATATCTAAACGTCATTTCTGACAATATTTTGTTGATAACTGATAAGTAGATGTGTCTAAAATTTCCACAGAAAAATATTATAAATAAAATATTTTATCAGTTTTTTTTTGAAAAATTTGAAAATATGTTATTTATTTGTTTAGTTTTAAAGATTATTTATGATCGAAAAAGATTGTAGTATTCTGATGCATAAACAAAATGTGAACTATAAAAAAAAAATACTATACAAGGTATAAAGAATGTTATGATGATATCAGGAAATCTGAATTGTAAGGCATCCCTCCACTTATCTTGAGCCATTTCGACCACTGGAGACCACTTATATGGCCGCTTACTTTTGCAGCACCATCATAACACTGACCACGACACTCTGATAATGTTAGATTGAATTTTGTTAAAATATTAGATACTAAGGTGAATAAAGTTAGTGCATCGATTGATTCAGTTTTAAAAAAAACCCAAAAACAGTTCGGATATTACGATTTACCTATTATAATTAATATATTGGCCATTGGGTGCTCCGCACCCAATGAATATTTTCAATGGGTGCTCGAGCACCCGAGCACCCATGTACTTGGCGCCTATGCCTGTATATACGTCGTATACGTTTTAAATCACGGCAACATCGAGTGCGAAAACCGTGCGATTTCTACTCGCTGGGCACCCAAACAGAATAAGTCTATAAATCTAGTTTCGGTGGCGGTAGTGAGTATAATATAATATATTTTACGTCGTCGCGACGTATATTTTACCTATAAATCACAAGTCGGAGGCGTAGAAAGTTTGCTCGCCTATATTGTATTTGCAGTGTGCAGCTATTGCTAATTTATTGTCCGTTGCGCTTTCACCCGCTCGCGCGCGAACAATAAGGCCGTTATATTATTACAGTCGCATATGGCTGTGTATAATATGTATATAATGTATTTATACGATCGTAAAATATTGTATTATTATAATTATATATATATATATATATATATATATATATATACGGATCTAGGACAATCGGTCCCCGGACAATTGGTCCCCGCGAAAAAATGCGGCATGCGGACAATTGGTCCCCGTCATAATTTCATACACGGACAATTGGTCCCCGGCTTAAAAGTTAAACACAAAATAATTTTTTAACATAAATCATTCTCATATAATATAATTCAAATTCTCGTGACACTGAACAAAGTAAAAATAATTATAAAGTTAAATAAAATTTATTTTATAATTAAATATAATATTTATTTTAATAACATTTTTAGATTCTGAGCGGAGCGATGAATGTATTTAAAACTGATTTTCAATAATATAATAGGTACGCTTAGTGAATAAAATATAATATAATATGGTCAAATAAAAAAATAAAAATGTATATAATACCTTGTGAGAATAAAGCCTTGATAGCGTTCATCGATGTTTTACAGCAATACTTAAGGAATACAAATAATTCAAAAGTTCATCTTTAGAAAAGTTGATGTTAAAACTGTTACAAATAGATATAATTTTAATATATATTGTAATCTTATTGAATTTTTGTTTCCCCCCTCACATACGGCCTTGGTTAATAATAATAAAAATAAAATATGAAATAACATAAAATATTACCGGGGACCAATTGTCCGCGTATAAAATAATGACGGGGACCAATTGTCCGCATGCCGCATTTTTTCGCGGGGACCAATTGTCCGGGGACCGATTGTCCGTTTACCATATATATACCTATGTGTATATAATAATATATAGATGTATAATATATAGTATGAGCGTGCACTACGTATAATATGCAAGGCTGGGCAAGTTAACTATTTTTTTTAACTCGTTAAGTTAAGTTAATATAGAAAAATGTAAGTTAAGCTTAAAGTTAAAAGTTAACTTCATTTTTTTTTTAACTTGTAAAAGTTACAAGTTAATTAGAAAATAAAAGTAACTTAACTTAGTTAAAAATAAGTTACTTTTTTTTTTTAAATAAAAATAAAAATTAACAATTATACCTACCTATCTACCTTTTTTAAAGCTAACAAATAACATAATAATTCAGTAAATCAAAAAATGTCTTACAATATTTGAATAAATGTTTGTAATAAAATTAGTTACTGTAGGTACTTATATTAATTTTGTGTATTATACTTTAATTAGGTAAATAGTAAATACCACACTACTACGGGTATTATTTACATCGACGGGCCAAGTTATCATCGTAATTCTATGAATGAATAAAAATATACCTAATAATAAGTAATGATATTAATAATGATTAGGTAAAGGAAGGTACTGAGTAAATTATTATATTTTTCTTTGACGCGGTTACCTCTATGATATTTCCCTCTATAATATAGTTATAAAATGTTTTCTGTGAATATGCAATATAAAAACTTACTATTATTATAAATTATTATTTAATAAAATATATTTAATATTTCGGGTTTTTTTTTATGTAATTAATTTTACAAAATTGAATTAATTTTAAATAATATGTGGTTTGGGAAAAAATTAACTTAACGTGCCAATACAATTAATTAACTCGTTAAGTTACTGAATAACATGGGGAAAAATGTAAATCGTTAAGTTAGAAGTTACTTCTAAAAAAAAAAGTAACTCGTTATTTAACTTAGTTAAAAGTAACTTAACTTTTTAACTTAACTTTAACTTATTAACTCGTTAATGCCCAGCCTTGATAATATGCAAGGCAAACAATGCTGCAGCGACTTATGTACTCGCGGTGCTGCAGTTCGGTACGGGAAGACATTTAATAATATAACATTATATATTGTGCACGATAAATAATGACGTCGTGAAAAATTACGAATTTGTCGGACCGGGGACTGACGATACAGGCCTTATACGATCGTCCTATTGTTGCAGTCGTATTATAGTCTTAACCGTAGATACCGCGGTACCATGGCCTGTGTGTGGTAATATAGTATAAAATATAATAATATATTTTAAGAATTTAAAGTAGGTACCCAGGAATAATATTTTTAAATTATAACAAAATAACTAAAATTGTTATTCTTCGTTTAAATACCAAATTTCTTCCAAATTTTCAATTTTGAACTTCAGATGTCTATAAAAAAAATAAGTTTTAGTGTTTATATATGTTTTAGATTTTTTTGGTTACAATATGAACTATGTTCGAGAACCCTTGATTTAAATTTTCAATCCTTAACTATAAAAAAGGTGGGCAAGTGGGTGTCGCTCTGCTGTACAGTAGGTTACAAGTGGGTCATTGTATAATGGATGGTATTAAATTTGAATTCAATGATATAATATCATTGTATAAGAAAAACGATTCTGAGCGGAGACGGTATGTCCTTCTAGGTAAAAGACATATTATATACATATCTATGGTATTAAAAAAAATTGACCTATAATGAATTCCAAATTAATCATATCACAATATCCATTAGGTACTTATAACGCGTTATACACCAACAACAAACCCTGATACTATCATAGATATATATAGTAGATTACTTTAAAAATTTCAAGTACCCACGAATAATATTATACAATCACAACAAAATAACTAAAATCGTAATTCTTGGTTTAAATATGAAATTTTGTCTAAACTTGAAATTAAAATGTCTGTAAAAAATAAGTGTGTTTATAAATTTTTTAGATTTTTTGGTTACAGTATGAATTATTTAAGAGAATCTTTGTTTTAAATTTTCAACTCTTAGTTATAAAAACTGAACATTTTATAATTTTTTAATTCCAACGATTGATTATTTTCGAGATTTTGATAAATTTTGTCAAAATTCCAACTTTAAATGCTTATAAAAAAAAAATCGTGCCAATGTATTTTTAAAATTTTTCAACTGATATTGTAACAATATATAAGAAAGCTTGTATTCAATTTTCAGACTTTTTGGCCCACCAAATAAAATTTTATTGACAATTATAAAAAAAAAAAAACTAAAAAAATTGAAAACTGAAAATGTCCGTAAAAAGCTCAAAAAGAGTCAAAATATTTTCAAAATTGTATGGTGTATAGGAAATGCTAATATAAACATTCAGTGCAATTTTCATATATCTATAGTTATTCGTTTTTGAATTGCAACAAAATAAAGAAATCCCTACATGAGTAATCGAGTGAATATCCAATGTTGTAAAAATTTGAATTTCAAACGCTCATAAAAATTTAATTTGACTGTCCGGTAGAGATTTTTTTATTGATAAAGGTAGATAATCTTATAAGGAATCTTGTGTTTCATTTTCAAATCTTAGATTTAAAAAGAAAAATTTTTACGAATTCTTAACTCAAAATAATTTGCTAATTTTCGTGATTTTTCCATATTTTGTCAATTTTTGAACTTTAAATGCTTATAAAAAAAAATTGTGACTAAGGATTTTTAATATTTTTCATCTGCCTTTGAAACAACATATTAGGAGCCTTCTATTAAATTTTCAAGCTTTCGCAACCGACAAATAAAATTTTATTGATATTTTTAGAAAAAAAACTAAAAAAAAATGGAAAATGAAAATGTCCCTAAACAGTTCAAAATAAATCAAAATATTTTGAAAATTTTATCGTGTATAGGAAATGCAAATATAAACAACCAGTGAAAATGTCATGTATCTACGATCATTTTTTTTAATGTTACACCAAAAACCAAATTCAATTTTGTGAAAAA